AATTTGGGTGACCAGGGCTGCAGCGTCCTGCCGCGTGTGACAGCAGGAAAGACAGTTTGTTTTTCCTGTCTCAGATACAGTCAAGCCCCGCTTGGCAATCACGTGTCGGATGCATCGTGGAATAAGCCCGTACTGCCTGGTGCCACACACCCGCCTACTAGCGTCTTGCTAACCTGCCACGTCCGCGGGAATCTAGGGTCTTGCTGGCACCAGAGGACGTCACTGCCGCTCGTGCCGCCTTCCTCCACCCCCTGCCAAGTTCAGACAGGTTTTGTTTCTCCTTTGTTTTGGGAGATAACCCGTGACCCCCAGGTACACGCGGCTCCTCGGGCGCTCTGTGGAGGTCTGCCACCCTCATGGCACAGAGCCACCCAAACAAGCGCCGCCAGCCAGAGGTGACAGCATGCGGGAAAAGTGGGCCGGCACTGCCCTGCAGACAAGCTCTCCTGCACGCAGGCTTTTCATTTGCAAATCTTTTTCTAAAGTCCCCAAAGGGCACGTGGAAATCAGAGGAGCCAGGCTACATCTTTGCCCGGTCAATGCCAGGCCCGTGTCAGGGAACAATGTGGAGCAAGCAGTGCAGTGACCTTGCCGCCAGCTCAGCCTTTCCTGTTTCATTCATTCGTTCACTCATTCATTCATAAAATACCAGCAGCCTCGGCCACATGCAGTTGGCACCGGGGTCAGGGAGTTGCAGAAATGCAGGGTGGACAGGGCCCTGCCTTTGAAATGTCCCACCTGATAGGGACCAGGGGCCAGGGCCAGAAACTCTTAGCTGGGCTGCCATGTTTGACAGCAGGATGATGGCTGGCATGGGCCGGGTGGGGGAAGGGGAGAGGAGGCGTTCTGTGAGGCTTCGGCAGAGCAGAGAGTCTTAGAGCCAGGGACCTGCAGGAGCAGAAGCTTGAAGGACGGTGCTATGGGCAGCTGGGGACCGCAGGACTTTCTGTGACTGCCGTCACTGGGTCAAGAGAAATAGAGGGCCGGGCTGGGTGGCTCAGTCTGTCATCCCAGCACTTTGGGAGGCCGAGGCGAGTGGATGGCCTGAGCCCGCAGATTCGAGACCTGCCCGGGCAACTTGGCAAGACCTTGTCTCTACAATAAATCAAAATTTAGCACGCGCCTGTAGTTCCGGCTACTTGGAAGGCTGAGGCGGAAGGGTCGCCGGAGCCCAGCAGATCGAGGCGGGGTGGCTGGGAGCGGCCATGCATCCAGCCTGGGCGGCAGAGTGAGACTCCAACTCAAAAAAAAGAGAAAAAGAGGAGGGACCGAGGCGGGAGAGGCAGGCGGGGACCAGACCTTGGCCTGGCGGAGGTCTGAGCTTTCTTTTGCAGACAGCAGGGAGCCATGGGACGTTTTGGCATAGGGGAGGCGGATGCTTGACCAGAATGAAGAGGCTTCCCTCTCAAGGCGGAACCGAGGGCGGGCCGCTCCCCTTTGTTGCCCCCGCACACCAGGGCATCACTTGGTCCATGTCACCTTGGCAGTACCATTGCCATGGTAACCCTAGGCCTTGGACTTCCTTCCTCTGAAATCCACCACCTCCTGCCTGTGGAGGGGCGGAGGTGGGAGCGCTTCGGCTTGGCCCTGACTTTGTTTCTCGCCGGCTTGTTCCCGGGAGGCACAGGGGAACGGATCAGAGTCTGAGCACCCCCTGGCTTGACTGCTCTTCGGCCAGTCAAGCCCGGGGGTGGAAGGGAAAGGGTGCATTCCTCTGAGCCATGGGGGCCTGCAGGCCAGGAGCCTGGACTGTGCCAGCTCTCCCCAGAGGCTGGAGCTGGTGCGATCGACGGCAGAACTGTCCGGCTCAGCATCTCCTCATTGAAGACCTTGCCTGGGTCAGTGTCCTCTGAGACTGCCCCTGCGTTCTACCCAGGCGGGTTTTAGAGGCAGGAAGGGGAAGTCCCCAGCCTCGCCCCTTCCATCCCCCTACCTCCCCCCCTTCCACAATGGCTTTTCCGCTATAAAAAAAACCTCCGGACATGGGCTTCCTGGTTTCCTGGCAAGGAGCCTGTTTCTGTGGTCGTGGTGTTCTTTGGGCCAGGGACTGTGCCGCCCAGTGCCTGGAACATTCTGACTCTCAGGCAGTTGTCAACACTGGAGCTAACTCTCCTGCTGGCTCTTCGTGGCCACGGTGACGATGCTGCTCTCGTGGCAGGGAGACATTCTGTCTGCTGGAGTCCAGGGCCTGGCAGTTCTCAAGCTCAGGCTGAGGCTGAGAGCTGGACACCAAGCCAACCCCTGCAGGGGCGGGGCAGGCAGCTGCTGTTCCCGAAGCCCAGAGGCGTCCTTGAGCGCCAGTCCCAGAGGAGCAGCCCTTATCTTTCAGCCCAGGACAGACCGTGAGGGCAGAGTCTTCCTAGCTGACCCTGTCGAGAGAAAGGGTGCTGAGAGTTGAATGCTGATCTGGAACCATCTGGAAGCTCGATTAGGAACTTCGGGCACCAGCAGTGAGAAAAAGGTGTTTTCAAAACTCATGCATTTTGGAACCAGCCCTGGCTGGGATTTTGTGTCATTTTCCCTGAGCAGCAAAAGTGCCACAGTGAGAAGGGTTTGGGGCCCCAGATGGCAGTTAGAGTTTGTGGGGAGAGACCCCCCCAGCTCGGAGGCCATAGGAATCATGGTAATAATAATACAGCTGTTTGCAAAGCGTTATTATTATTACCATTTTTTTTGAGTTGGAATCTCACTCTGTCGCCCAGGCTGGAGTGCTGTGGCACACTCATGGCCACCGCAGCCTTGACCTGCTGGGCTCCGGCGCTCCTTCCACCTCAGCCTTTCAGGTAGCTGGAACTACAGGTGAGCCCTATCACGCCCGGCTAATTTTCTTTTTTATTTATTGTAGAGATGAGGTCTTGCTGAGTTGTCCGCGCTGGTCTTGAACCCATGGGCTCAGGCAATCCAGTCACCTCGGCCTCCCAAAGTGCTGAGATGACAGGCTGAGACACCGAGCCCGGCTTGCATAGCGTTATTTTAAGACTTCACATATGCACAAACTGCTTAACCTTCATGACAACCCTGTGAGATGGGTTTATCGCCCTCCCCATTTTTGAGGCCAGAGAGGTTAATGGCTTTTCCAAGATCACACAGCTTTTAAGTAGTAGAGTTGGATTTGAACCCAGGAATGAATATTATTGTTTGAGCGGGGTCTCTCTCTGTCACCCAGGCTGGAGTAGAGTGGCATGATTATAGTTCACTGCAGCCTTGACCTCCGAGGCCCCGGCGATCCTCCTGCCTCAGCCTTCCAAGCACTGGAACTACAGGCATGCGCCACCACGCCCAGCTAATTTTGTTTCTCTTTTTTGTAGGGCTGAGGTCTCCCTGTGTTGCCCAGGCTGATCTTGAACTCCTGGGCTCAGGCAATCCAACCGCCTCGGCCTCCCAAAATGCTGAGTTTACAGGAGTGAGCGGCTGTGCCCAGACAGAACCCAGGAATTCTGGTGTTGATCACGCCGGCCACCCAGACGCTGTACCGAGCCGGAACTTGGAAATGGGCCGCCCAGCTTGAGGCAGGAGGATGAGAGACTGACGGCAAAGCATTGTGGGAATCGTTGCCCTGGACCTCCCAGCCGATGGCAGGCTGGGCCCAGGACAAAAAAGGGGGGGCCCTCCCAGCTAGAATTTCTGCTCTGACTGTCCTGGGAGCTCTGCGTTCGTAGTCAAGGGCCGAAGCCCCAGCCGGAGCCCGGCCGCCCCCGATGCACTGGCCATCAAGAAGACCCACAGGTCCTGCCAGAGAAGTGTGTCTCCCAGAAATGACTGGGGTCTGGGGCAAACCACGCTGGGTGCTGCCGGCCTCCTCTCCCAGGGGAGGGCACTGTTCCTTCTCACAGACTCTGGGCAGACCCTCCCCAGAGAAATCACTCTGTACACTCAACCAGTTGGCGCTGGACAACCTGAGCCTCCTAGGCGGGGAAACAGGCCCACGAGGACGAGGATTTGCATGACGGTCCAGAGCCCATCAGCGACAGGGCCAGGAAGGGGAACCGAGCTCCCAGGTCCTGTGGTGTATCCCTCAGCTACGGCCACTGTCTTGGGAGGCGCTGGCTACATCACTAGGCCACAGGCGGGGGCAGTGTCTCACTGACCCTGTTGACCAGGTCCTGGGGGGATGCCCTAGCTGGTGTCACTGAGTCCTCCTGACTAGGTCCCAGGGGGGACACCCTAGGTAGTGTAACTGAGTCCCCTGACCAGGTCCTTGGGGGAGACAACCTCGTGGGTGTCACTGAGTCCCCCTGAGCAGGTCCTAGGGAGGTCACCCTGACTGTGTCACTGAGTCCCCTGACCTGGTCCCTAAGTCCCTCTGACCAGATCCTGGGAGGCCACCCTGCCTGGTGTCACTGAGTCCCCCTGAGCAGGTCCTAGGGAGGCCGCCCTGTGTCACTGAGTCCCCTGACCTGGTCACTAAGTCCCTCTGACCAGATCCTGGGAGGCCACCTTGCCTAGTGTCACTGAGTCTCCCTGACCCGGTCCTGGGAGGCTGCCCTAGCTGGTGTTGCCACCTGCCTTGGCCTTCTGGATCCCTGCTGTGGAGCCAGGCACTGGTTCCATGTGTGGACAGCTGGCAGTCCACGCCATGTCCCCTTCTGCATACACCTGGACAGCCTCCTGGAACCTGTGTTCCTCATGCCTGTGTCTGGGATCAGGTTTGCCAGGACAGTACCGACGGCTCTAGAGGGACTGGCCAAGATGCATTTATTGAGTCTCCACTGGGTACGACACCAAGCCAGGCCTTCCCGGCCACCGTGTTGTGTAATCTGCACAATCTCCCTGAAGGGATTTCTCCCACTTTCCAGCAGCAGAAACTTGCTCAAAGAGTTCGAAGCCCCAGACACTGGGTCCACGTCACACCCATCAGGGTCCACCCCACCCCTGCCCGGCCGGCACCCACTGCCCTGGACTCCGGGCGTCCCCACCCCTGCTCCGAACACGGGGCCACTCATACCCAGCCCTCTCCGGCCACGTCCTCCCACTATGGCCGCTGGGCAGCCCCGGGAGGGCTACGACTTGGTGGGGTTGACGACCTTGCCCAGAAACAGGATGCTCTGGGTGCTGGGAGAGAAGATCACCACGAAGAAGGGCCGGTTGAACCACAGGACGTTGCGATTGCGCCAGGCGGACAGGAACCTGCTCGAAGAGCTGGTGGCTGCTGCAGCCTCGGTGCCAGCCTCGTCCACATCCAGGGTGGCCTTGTGGAAACTCTGGGGGAGAGAGGCATTGCAGGCGTCATCCCCGAGACCCCCAAGAGGGGCCGGGACAGGGCTGGGGGTCCAGGGCCTGCTGGGGAGTGACTCTACACTTCACGGCCATGGAGTCACTGGGGGATGGCACGGCCGGCAGGCAGCTGAGGGGATGTCCTCCTATGCAGGCAGTAGTGACGGCTGCTGTCACACACATCCTGCGTGTCACCTTATTGAGTCTTCATAGCCAACCTGTGAGGTCAGCGGTGTTATGTCCATTTTATTTTATTTTATTTTTGAGTCAGAGTCTCATTCTGTCGCCCAGACTGGAGTGCAGTGGCCGCTCCCGGCCACCGCAGCCTCGACCTGCTGGGCTCTGGCGATCCTTCCGCCTCAGTCTTCCAAGTAGCTGGAACTACAGGTGCACGCTACCATGCCCGGCTGATTTTTGATGTACTGTAGAGATGAGGTCTCGCCAAGTTGCCCAGGCGGGTCTGGAACCCGTGGGCTCAGGCAATCCACTCGCCTCAGCCTCCCAAGGTGCAGGAATACAGACTGAGCCACCGAGCCCAGCTATTATGTCCATTTTAAAGATGAGGAAAGTACAAGGCGGGGAGGCCCTCAAGAAAAGATTTATCTTTTGGAAGTTGGGCCCCTTGTAGGATGTTTGGAATTTGTTCCTCGGATCAAACAGTCAACTGAAGTGTTTGGAAGTTTCGAGAAGGCTGCGTCACCATTTGTGGAAGGAATGCTCTGAATTGTGGCAAACAGGTGACCAGTTCTTCCGACGTGACAATGCCGTCATGCTGAGTGTTCAGCAGTTTCTGGCCCCAAATGGCCTAACCTCCATGCCCCACCCTCCCTATTCACCCGATTGTTTGTTTGTTTGTATTCCCAGATGCAAAAAGTCCTCCAGGGGAAATGTTTTGCCCATGTGGAAGAGGTGAAACAAAAAACAGCAGAAGCATTAAAAGGCACAAAACAGGTGAGCTCTCTGTTTTGAGCAGCAGAAAAAGAATCTGAATAGGGGTATTCATAGGTGTATAAATAAATCTGGGATTTTTGGGGTCCCCCTTGAACATTCTGAGTTTAGACAGCCACGAGAGGCAGAACCAGAATTCAAACCTGAACTTCAGACTCCACCCTCTGGTGCACTTTGGCTGTCCTTAGCTGAGGTCACGGGTCTCTCATCTGGGAAGTCTCTGGATGAAGAACCAACCCCCCTCCCCAGCCTGGTCTGCATCCTTCCTGTTTCTATCATTCTTGCTCTCTATTGCCTGGCCACCCTGGGAGGGCTCCCTGAGGGCAGGGCCCGGGTTAACTCTGCGCCACCCGCCCGCACCGAGCACCATGCCCAGCATGTGGCTGGTAGGTGGCCAAGGCCGAGGTCTGTGGATGTCGGACACGCTCGGACTCTGAGGGTGTTCAGAGAGCTCTCGCTTGCCCATGTGGAACAAGGAGAGCCCCCGAGGGCACAGTCCCCACCAAGGCCTCTGGGGGTTGCTGACTTACTCTGGACACCTGCAGGCTCAGCTCTTTGGTGATGCCAGACAAGCCAGCCTGCCGGGAGAACAGGTGGGTGAATCCCAGCCTGGGCAGCATCTGATGTAACATGTAGGAGCTGGAGATGGAGAACTTGGGGAAATACAGCTCCAGCTTCTTGTAGAGATACCTGGAAGAGGCATTGGGTGCAAACCTCGGGTCCTGAGCAAGCCAGGATTCCGCAGGGCGAGTCCCACGGCACCTGTGGTCGTCACCCTTCGGAGGCATGCTGAAACCCAGGTCCCTCCCGGGCCTGCTGTCTGTGGGACCCCCTGCCCTCAGGGCCCCTCCTCAGCTGGGGTCACTTCCCCTGGCTTGGAGGTGCCTGGAAGACACCTTCCTGTTTCTATCATTCTTGCTCTCTGTGGCTGTCATCTGTGAAGTGGACCCGTGCAGTGGTATTGCCTCTGCCCTGTGGGCCCTGGGGTCTCGCTGGCTTGGACCTGGTCCGGCTGATTTTCTTGGAGTAGAGGTTGTGTGAACTCCCTCCTGCACATGGTCTTGACTGGGTCCTCCCCTAACACGGACTGGCCCCAGGGTGACGGAGGGCCTCCTCACTAACTCTCAGGCGGTGGCTGGCGCTTTCCTGAGCCCCTCTGCGCCTGCCCGGTCAGTCCTCTCGGCCAGGGCGCTGCCTCCTCACTGCACCAGGCTGGCCCCCAGAGAGGCAGCTCTCTTGACCCGAGCCTTGTGCAGCAAAAAGCCAAGTCCAGAACCAGGACTCTGGACTCCTGCGGTGGCTCGCCTTTCCCCGATAAGGGTGGAGTCATACTTTAAAGCTTTTTAAAATTTTTTATTTTATGTGCTGAGACGGTGTCTCACTCTGCTGTCCCAGCTGGAAGTCTCGTGGCAAGATTCCAGCTCTCCATAGCCTCGACTTCCTGGGCTCAAGGGATCCTTCTGCCTCAGCACCCCCCAGGAGCTGGGCCTGCAGACGCACACCACCACGTGTGGCTTTGCCTTTTTTTTTGTAGAGACAGGCTGGTCTTGAACTCCTGGGCTCAAGCAATCATCTTGCCTTGACCTCCCACAGTGCTGGGATGACAGGTGTGAGCCACCGTCCAGCCCTGTTTTAAATATAATAGAGTTCACTCCTTCAGGAAACCACAGGTCTTTGAGCCAGCGAGAACCCTTAGTGGTTTGGCGATCACTCTCTAGCAGGGGCGTTCCCTTCATGGGAGAGGTGAGTCTGGGGCGGTGCTGGATCCCGCAGGGCACCCGGGCAGGCAGCTCACCTGTGCTGGAGCAAGTTGTTCCACCGCGTGATCATCTCCGGGGTCAAGACCTCCTCCACCTGCCTGGTCTTGCCCTGGTCGGGGAGGACAAACAGGGCCCTGGCGTCCCCTTGGTAGTCCATGCGCAGTACCGAGCAGGGCAGGTACCTGTCGTGGAGGAACCAGTGGTGCTGCCCGTCTTGCTGCATCATGGGCACCTGGACCGTCGTGTTCTCGTCCACGTGGAAGTGGTGGGGCGTGGTCAGCGTGGAGGCGAAGGGCTTCTCCCACAGGGCTGCAGGGGAGGCGGGGAGGAGGGTCACAGCCCCGCGGGCCACCGAGCCGCCCCACCAGGGGCCGCCCTGGGCACCCGGGGCTGCCGGATCCCGCCTGGCTGGTCCACCGTTGTCCCGTCTCAGCCATTCAGAACCCGACAAGGCTGGGAATGGATCTCGGGAGGCATCGGAGGATGCTAATCTATGAGGAGGATCACGAAGGGGAGAGGAAGTCAGTGGAGCTGGAGGGAGCAGCTCACGCCCGGGCAGCATCCTGGAAAAGGGGACAGGCGCCGGCGGAGTGTGAGCCTTAAGAGGTGAGTCGCCTCTGCCATGATGGGGGTGGGGGTGCCATCAGAGCCCGCGGCTTCAGGGCAGGGGTGAGAAGGCAAGAGGTTTCCTGCCTGCTTAACTACGCCTGCTCAAAGTGTGCGGTGAGACTGGGAGGTGAGGTCAGGCATGCAGGACGCGTCAGCCAGAGGAAGCCACGAGTTGTCATTCTGGAGAGCGGATGGAGGTGTGGGTGGGCCCCAGGGACAGTGTGGGGACCCAGGACGGTCTGTGCTCACAAACGCCAGCGAGATGCCCTCCCGTCAGGTCCTGTGCTATCAGCCGGGGGTGGATGGGCAGAGAGCTGCAGGATTCCGCAGGTCTGTGGCTTTGTGGGAGGGAGACACGGAGGGGGAGAAAGCCAGGCGGTGAGGGGTGTTGGCAAGGTGGGATGGTGACAGCCACGGTGCTCTGCCGTGGCGGGGAGGCAAGGGCGGGAGGCCTGAACCACGAGCCCCAGCCTGCGAGGACCGGGGTCTCCACGCCAGGGTTGCGAGTCCAGAAGAAAGCGAGAGACCGCAAAACCCACGCGAGGGATAGCCTTCCTTTCTCACTGTTTCCAAACTTCTCTTAAAGCAGTCTTCTCAGACTCCTGCTCCCTGTAGATCCAGGTCCAAGCTGGTTCCAAGAGTGAGATTTGGAAGCGGATGTGAGGCCACCGAGACCCTCGGAGGGTCTCGGGGGTCAGCTAGACGAGGGACTCACCCAGAGGCGCCTGTGTGCCCCAGTTTGTCCCCGCTGGCTCCAAGCTCCTCTTCCTGACTCTGATCCCCGACCGCTGGTGGCCTCCGCCACCCCCAGATGCCCGGCCGTAAGCCTCCCTCCAGAGCCGCTCTGGTGGCTGGATGTGCCTGGCGGGAGACTTCCCTGCGAGCTCTGACCTACCCACCACACCCGGACTCTCACTCTGTCCCACCTGTTTCCCCTCCCTCCAGAGGATCCCCTCCCCCAGTCATGGGAGGCTGATTCCTACAACCCCCGTGCCCTTGACCCAAGGTGGCTCTGATGAAGCCCTGACTGACACAGGGTCCAAAAGCGTCCCCACACTGTGACGCCAACTGTCAACATCTGTATGTGTGAACAAGAGACAAAGAAAAGATGAGCTTACTGCCTCACGGTGGTAGGACTCAGGAACCTTTCTATTTTCTCTGTTACGGTTTCACGTATCTTTTAAGGTCCTCACAGGGAGCACTGTTCTCATTAGGGTCATTACAGCTGCTCTTTCTTGAGTATCTAGAATGACCAGCCTCAGGCATACAGAATGAATGGGCATGGCAGTGCACAAATAAAACTTTATTCCAAAACCAGGCGGCTGGCCAGGCTTGGCCCCAGGGCTGCCATGGGCCCGTCCCTCTAGGCCCTCTTCTAAGGGGTATATGCATATGTTCGATCACTGGATCCTCAGAACTGGCCTCTGCAGCAGACTTTTCTTACCCTGTGGGAGCAGACAGGCTAAACCGTCTCCCCTGTTGGCAGAGACCGAACTCAGACACGAATCCGGCAGCTTGCCTTGTGGACACCAGTGTGACGAGGCACCCAAAACATTTACTTTTATTAAGAAGATAAATGATGAAATGCCTAAATGTCTCTAGGCTCTGGGGGAGAACAGGGTCGACAGTGACACATCGCGCTATCTCGGAAAATCCTTGGCAAACTGGAGGATTGCCAGCAAGCCGGTGATAAGGCCACACAGGACTTCCTGGGTCATCGGAGCCTGCCATTTGGCCGGGCCTTTGTAACCGCTTGGGGCCTCTGCCCTGCAGGAGCCCTGTACTCAAGGACAACTCAAGGCCAACGTTTGCAGCTGGCGATGATGACCGCAGCTTCGAGGCTGCATTCTGCACAGGACAGAAGGGTGAGGGAGTCGGAACCCTGAGCTTGCTGGCGGTGCTCACTTAATCCTGGTTCCAGCCTTGGCCTCAGACAGTCGCTTCTGGATGTGATTCACAAGCTTTTTGAGAGTGTCTGTATTCTTAAACTACCGAAGACATTTTTCTGCAGAGTAAGACCCGCCCTCACCTTCTGACTCAGCGGTGTTTGCTTGCCGCTGTCGCTGGCCACCACAGGCGGCCATGGCAAGTCTTTCGCTTTTCCCTTTTGCTTTATGTCTTTCAGTGGGATTATTTGGGTCCAGAACTGACACATGTCTTCCATATTGCAGACAGAGGCTAACGACCTTGCATACATTTTTCATTATTGGTTGCAAAGGCTTTGTGTGATCTTAAATAAAGTATTCATTAACTTGACCAGAAAAAGAAAGTATGTCTAAAGCTGGGAGGGCCAGAAGCGTCCGTGCCCTGGAGCCTTCGGCCTCTGATGTTCTGACGTCGCCGCCTAGGACTCAGCCTGTCCACTCAGTTTCTTTGAGATCTAAGCCGTCAACAAACGAGGGGGCCGAGGGACCTAGGACCCACCCGTGACTCTTACCTTTGAAGTAAATGTAGTTCACCAGCACCATCAAAGTGTCTGCGGGGAGCTCACTGACCAAACTTGCAATCTTCCCTCGGGTGTCCTTCTGGACATGGTCGTTGATGAGCTGGGTGGCACGTGCGGGGTTACGGAAGTTGGTGTGGAGGAGTCTGGGCTCGTAGAAGGCCGCGGTGGCATTCAGGAAGGTGGGAAGGAACTCCAGGTCACGACTCAGAAACAGGGCGCTGCCCACGTGTGTCTCCAGCCCATGACTCGGGAGGGCAAGTGTGCGCAGGAGGTGCTGGAAGCCCCCGTGGATGTCGGCCTCAGCCAGCTCTGTGAGGTTGAAGCCCAGGCCCTTGAAGATCTGGCCGCGGCTCTGCGGGTTGGCCCCCAGGGAGAGCATGGCGTAGGCGACCGAGATGCTCAGCGGGGAGAAGAAGATGTTCGCCCCGGGAGCCTCGGACACCACTAGGTGGTAGAGGCGCAGGGCGAAGTCCGTGTTGGCGGGGGCGATCCTGAGGCTGGGCGAGCCGTCCCCCGAGCCCGCGGCCTGTGGGTGAGACCTGTTGGCGGGACCCTCGTCTCCAGGCTGGCCGTGAGAAAGGGCCAGGAGTCCGGCCAGCAGGGGCAGCAGGCGTGCGGTGGGGCCCATCCTCTGCATGCTGGGCCTGCGGGGAAAGAGAGCCCGAGAAGGTCCAGCGCGCCCGTGCGCGTGGGGACAGTGGCCTGCTTGACACACACCGACGCCCACTCTGACGGCTCCTCTTTCCACTGCCGCACAAGGGCCCCGATCTCACGGAGGCCTCCGAGAGAGACTTCCCCACCACCTGCCCAGCAAGGGCCCGGGTTGCTCCCCAGGCCTGTCGAGAGGACACTGCCAGAGGGTGCGCGTCACCCAAGGCGGTCCGAGCGGGCAACCACGTTCAGGTCCTTCCTTTGACCCTCTCACCCAGGCCGGAGTTGGTGGCCCTGGCCGCCCCGTGCAGAGGAAGCCGGCGCTTGATAAATGACTGACACACACTCACGGGGCCGAGCGCTCCCTTCTCACCATGACCTCAACGGCCCAGGACGGGGCTCTCCCCAGATCTCCCCTGCCCCTCTGAGGACCCCACCACTGCCCAGTTCTCAGGCCAGGAGCCTGGTTGCCAGGCCCGGCGCCCCCCAGGCCTCTCATCTGCCCCGGCCCCTTTAAGGGTCATTGCGGCCCCTCCACTGGCCTCTTGTTGCCCCCCAACAACCGTCAAACGGGGCTCGGGGAACTTTTCCCACAATCGGCCAGATGGCAACGTCTGTGTCTGTGCCACTCTGCGGTGGTGAGGCAAGCGGCAGCCACAGGCTGACGTGGCTGGGCGCCCACGGACACTGGAATCTGAGTTTTAGACATTTTCCGTGTCACACAGTACGGGTCTTCTGCTGATTTTTTGACCCTTTGTGCATTTCATACTTATCTGGCATATGGGTGACTTATATTCTATGTTTACAGACTTTACGTCGGCATTTCACACCTTGCGTTCTCCGCTCATGGGCGGTGGCCAAGATCTGACCCACGAGCCGAGTGGAGGCTTGCTGGCCCCAGGCCTAGACCCTGCGGGAGCTCCCTGGCTGTCTTCATGCCTGTGTCCCCTTCCCCAGCAGCGGGAGGGATCACCCAGGAGCACACAGGGGCCCAGGGCCCTCACCGGTTCAGAACGCTGCCTCTGGTGGGAGCTCCCGGCAGCACCTGGGTTGGGAGCCAGAGGAGTCAGGCTCCCGGCCGGCGCAGCCCTGAGCTAGCTGAGGGTCCAAGGGGGAGGATTTTGAGGTCTGGGCACAGTTGTCCCCCCATACAGCAAGGAGGTTGGGTGCGATCCCGTGCTGGGGTCACCCTCCCTCTGGGGTCTCCACTAGCCCATCTCCTCCCTCTGGGGTCTCCTGCCTGTCACTCTCCCTCTGAGGGCTCATCTCCCTCCCCCTGGGGTCTCCAACCCCTCTCCCTCCCCCTGGGGCCTCCCGGCCCGTCACCCTCCCCCCGGGGTCTCCCAGTCCATCACCCTCCCCCTGGGGTCTCTGGACCCGTCTCCCTCCTTCTGGGGTCTCCTGCCTGTCTCCCTCCCCCTGGGGTCTCCCTGCCCATCAGGTCCCTCTGGGGTATCCCAGCTCGTCACCCTCCCCCTGGGGTCTCCCGCCCATCACCCCCTCCTGGGGTCTCCTGTCCCCACTGTCTCTGAGGCTCTACTCACGGCTCAGTCCGTCCTGGAGTGGCCCCGGTGGCCGTGTGAGCTCTCGTGGAGGCCCATGGAGCCCAGGAGCCCTGGGTAAACAAGGCCTCTGCACCACCTCCTGCCCCCATCAGGTAATCATTAATGGACAGACACTGCCGCCCAGACTCCCCACAGAGAGAAACCCCCAGAGGTCGGTTCCCCCACTCCAGAAAACACCCAAGGGCTGCCTCTTCGTGTGTGTGCCATGCACCGAGGCCTGCCTGGCCCCTGCTTCTCCTTGAGGCTCGGGGGCCGAGGGTATTGGTCTCTCAGACCCCTCACTTGCTGTGTGCATTTAAGTCTATCCACACCTTCTCTGGGCTCGGTCCTGCACTCACCTCCTGCCTGCACCATGAGGAGCTATGGCAGACCGGGGATGGCCGACACCAGCACCTTCCCAGATCAGGCAAGGAAGTGCCCAGGTGACACAGCAGGGGACGTGGGGACATAGGCCGGGGAGAGTCAGCTCCTCGCAGCCCAGGCAAGACCTGTCGTGGGCCAGACCCTGCCCAGGCTTGCGGTCTGCACTCCTGGACTGTGGCGTTTCTGAGGGGGTCCGCAGGTGGACTGTGAGGACAGCACATCCCAGGGCAAAGATGGCATGGGGTGGGCCAGACCCCTCCTCTCCAGGAACCTGACGTTTCGACGGCAGGCTCACCTGCTCGCTCTCCAGGGGTCAGTGGGCCCCGTGCCCCGCACCTTGCCAGGTGGCCACCCAAGGAAGGACTGCAGGGGTGAGGTGGCAGGGTGTCCTGAATGAGATGCCCTCAGCCGCTCAGACTTCCTCCAGCACTTTCCAGGTATGTGTCCTGGTTCTCGGGGCCTTTGTGTCCGAGGGACATGCACCCCGAGCAGCCCGGCTGACGGGGCCTGAGCGAGGCCGGGCTCTGGAGGGCCAGGCAGGCTCGGCAAGGTCGTGGACCAGCTGGTCTGGGTCCGAGACGGCAGCCCCAGGACCAGAGGGTCCGACAGCCAGGTTGGGAGAGCCACTCTCACCGTGCCCCCTCTCCCTGGCTCACGTCTCTGTCGCCCTCTCACATACTCCAGGGGCGCTGTTCTTTGCTGCTTGGCACACGAGAAACGTTGCCCAAAAAAGATGTTGGCTCCGACCCCAGAGTCAGGGTCCATGACTGGGACCGGGGGACCCAAGCCCGTGATCCTTCCCCGCTTTTCCATGTCTCCACACGGACCAGCCTTTCACGTCTCCAGAACGGCAGCCCTGTGTTGCCTTTGCCGTACCCACATGCACACGTGGGCGCCACTGGTGTCCACTCGGCGAGTGAATGAATGTATGCATGAATGAATGATGACGACTTGTTTTCAGCCTCATGGACGTGAACATACATCCTTCCCTTTCCGAGAGTCCACAGTGTGGGCTTCTGCCCCCTCCATCTGGCTTCTGCGGGGACTTGGGGCTGGTGGAACAGACTTGGGTTCAGCCTGTGCTTGGCTGCTGCCCGGGGATGGAGTTTGTCCCCGTGGTGAGTACACGGCGCTGTCCTTTGGCTCCTGGCACCTGTCCTGTGACGCTCTGGACCGAGGTTGAGCTTTGCAGCCAGGCAGGCTCTGTCGTGGCCGAGCTGTGTGACTTCGGACAAGCCACTCCACCTCTTTGAACCTCAGGCTCCTCACCTGCCAAATGAATCACCACTCGGAAAGGCCGACATGTGGGGCAGGGTGTCCCCTGGAACGTGCCGAGCCCCACGTCTGGTTCTGTGGGTCTCGGCAGTGGTGGGGAGGTTCGCTGTCTAGGTAGAATCCTGGCCGCTGGTTCATGACTCACTTTGCTCTGGTGTCTTGCTGTCTCACATACACGACTGTGGACTGTGGGTCATGACTGTCCCTAAATTCCAGGGTTACCACGAGGAGTCCGTGAACCGACATCGTAAGGTGCTTAGAATAATGTCTGGCATCCTACGTGCACACAGGTGTGGTCACTCCACGATGTTCTTCCAGGCAGGCTGTGCGTGTCATTCTTCCATGGCGGACGCAGTGCAGTCCTTGAAAAGCATCCCAAGAAAGTCTGGCCGACCCTGGAGTGTGCACGATACTTCGCACCTTGTGGGTCTGGGAGTCCCCTGAGGTCCGTGCACGCCTGTGTGCTCGGGTCGTTACTTTCTCCTGCAAAGATTGGGCCCACAGAACAGGAAGATGGGAGGACACCCAGCTGTGGGGGGAGCCGCTGGCTCGGGACGCACAGGAGGAGGGCTGACAGCTGTGGCACAAGGGGGCAGGCTGGGTTCCACCCACTCCGAGCCCAGGCCCGCCCTGCACCTGCGGGCCTCTTGGCTCAAGCCTCCAGGAGGGCTTTAGGGCCGCTGAAACCTTGCCTGTCACAGCTGGAAGACCAAGGCTTCTCGTTTGCCATCCATGAAGTCCCTGAGGACAGTGAGTCGTGCCACGGTCACATCTGTGCTGCCACATCAGAACAGACCTGGCCTAAGGCTCATAGAAGTCACTCAGGGAACAAACAGGTGAGATGACGAGGCTCTGCTCAGAGCTGAGACCGGGCTCCGACAAACGGCACAGGCTCAGCTTCCATGGGCGGGATGAGCCCTCTGACCAGGAAGTCCAGGGTGGATGTGGTGGTGCCAAGCGCCTGATCGCGGGTCTCTGGCCCTAGGAAATGCCACTGCGCCAGATGGGACAGCTGCCATGACAGCATTGAGTCCCCAGGAGGGAACTGCTGTCCCTGTGGCCGACCTGCTGAGCTGAGCTGTGGCCGGGAACCCCACACCCCGGGACCCTCCTCTGCTAGTCGCCGCTGGAATCCCAGCTGCGCCCTTTCTCGAAGGCTGTCTTGGCCTCCAATACCAGCACGCGCTCTACATAAGCTGCCCCTGACCACTCTCAACTCCCTTCTTGTTCCCTAAACTCTCCATGGAGCCGGGATACCTGTCCTTGAAAAGGCTGTCCTTGTTTTAAATTTGGTTGTCTACGTGATGGTCATTATGAAAATTCAGAGAAAGTGCAAGAGCCAAGAGAGGGAAATAAAAGAATCCGCAAACCTGTAGTTCAGCTACAACAGATAGAATGGCTTTCTGGTGGTCTTTTTAAAGATGGGCACGTGCGCATACAGAAAAGCAGCAGTAAGACTAGGCATCTTGGTCTGGATGGCTGCACAAGCGGCCGTGGTTACTGTCCGGAGAGACTCTCTTGCAAGCATTTCAGAGCAGGGGGCCGAGAGCAGGCCTCCAGACCCCCAGCGCTTTACCTGTGCAAAAGGGATTGGAAAGTGGCCGGCGGGAGACAGACATCACAGGGGCACTTCCCCAGCGGCCCAAGCGTCAGTCTTGTCGATAGGGGGCAGGTCGGCATCTGGTGCTTGTCTAGAAACCGAAAGACCCAGGTGCTTGGACTCCCGTGGTCTCTGCAGCCACCTTTCTGTCCCACCCTAAAGTCCTCGCTTTCCATGGTTTTCGGACACG